GATATTCAGTGAAAAGTCCAGATTTTGAGCACCAACTCTTTAAGTGCCATCTTCCTGAGGAGACGGAACTGCCCAGTCCAGTAATAACCCAGGATGGAGGGGCTGTCATCCTCTTGGCTCTGAGGAGTGGCAGATCCAGGCTCCTCACCAAGTGGGATGTGCCCATTCTGGCCTGCCGAGAAGGCCCTGGAGGTACCACCTAGCTGGCCAGCACCTGATTCCTCATTGTCACTAATGAGATGACAAGAACTGATTATATATCTCCCTTCTTGCTGAGCTCTGTCACCTCAGAAACAACATCAGAGAAAAAGTTTTACTTTCATAAAACTAGAACATAAAATAATACGTGGAGGCAGCAGAGGAGGTCTCTGCTTCCCCCTGTTGGTGGCTCCTGGTAACCCTACCCATTTTTAAGAACGTGCTTCCTCGATTTCAGTAATTTTATTATACAGAGAATATGCTTGTATAACAAAATTTTCAAATTTAATAAGTCCTGGGTACTATCAAAATTTTAAATTGTCAGTCTGATAGGTGAAAATGGTATCTTATTGCTGTTTTAATTTGCATTTTAAAAATTCTGAATGATGCTCTATATAACTTAATGTTTTTATTTATTTTCTTAGTGGGTACACTTTACTTATTTTTGTTGTTGTTGTTGTTGTTATTGGTTTATAATAGTTTTTATTTTAAATATGTTTCTCACATTTTTGTACTAAGGTTTTTCTCTTTTATATAGTCAACTTTATCAATCTTTCTTTTTTCAACAGGTTTTTCCTAGTAATTTTATGTCTTTAGTTTTTAATGTTTAAAACTTAATCAATCTGAAATTTTTGTTATAAGGTGGGAAATAGAAAGCACAGTTTTATGTTTCTTTGTTTTTAAAATGGTTTATTGCTAGTTATACCAATATCCTTTCTTAAATATGCTATTTTATTCCACTTACTTGAAATGCATTTTTGTTTCTAATAATGCCCCATTTTCTGGACTCTACACTGTTCTATTGGGCTGTTTATTTCTTCCTGTATAAGTACTTATAATATTTAGCTACTAGAGATACATAATACATTTCAATGTTATATAGAGCTGGTTCTCCTTCATTATTACTCTTATTTTTCAAAAATGTCTATTTTTTCTTTCTTAATTAAACTTTAAAATCAAGTTTCCAAAAGATCCTGTTGGTGGGCTGGCCCGTGGCTCACTCGGGAGAGTGCGGTACTCATAACACCAAGGCTACAGGTTCGGATCCTATATAGGGATGGCCGGTT